CCAAGTATTACATAGAAGGTAAATCCTAATTGAACTCAATACTGAACTGAATTGTTTTAACCTCAAATTTTGTTACTTTCCTCTCCAGCCACTTCCAAATTTAACCCTTGAAACCAAGAAAACAGAAAAAACTGTGGCTGTGAGGTGTTGTTACAAATATAAGGTAAGGATGCAATAACAAAACTTAAGATAATTCTATTAGGTCTTATAAGGAGGACAAAGAACAATGGTCCAGCTGTCAACAGCAGACAAAGAACAATGGTCCAGCTGTCAACAGCAGACAAAGAACAATGATCCAGCTGTCAACAGCAGACAAAGAATAATTGTCCTCTGTCAACAGTGTAATCAGGACTCTATATTTTAAAAATTACTAGCTTTTACTCATGTTATGCTTTTAATCTTAAGTCAATATTGCTCACACATTTAAAATTCCAAGTTGTCCCCAAAACATGAAAACCTTGAATTTAAAACTGGACCTTGAGTTCTTTCCCTCCCGATACCTGGTGTTTATTTTCGTTTTTTTTTCCCGGTTACATTGAGCTGACCAGTGACGACGCGTCTACACCGCCTTTCACCCACTTGTGAAGCGCGACCTTGTGATTGAAAACGACCTTGGCTCAAGCAAGCATTTCACTTAGCATTATTTTTCTGAAGGCAGTGTAGAAATGTTTTTTTCCTTTCATTGTTACAACTGAAGACGCGCTAGATCTAGTCTATAGTGACTATTGTTTATAACTAGAGCAATTAGCAGCCTAATGTGAAGGCTACACCCCTCCGGGCCCTCCCTCGCCGAAAATCTTCTTGTTGTAACAGTAAGAGTGACTTCGCGTGGAAAGTCCGTATATCATCTTATCTTTGTGTCTTTCTGAGTATTTTATTAGATTTTGTAAAGAGGTTGACCAAGTGGAACTCCTTTATAACATTGGGCGACACAGACAGAACTGCCATGTATCCAAAAGTGTATCAACAAATTCTTCATGTTCAAACTTGCATTTCTTTGCTCATCCGTTTATACCTCAGGTATCAAATGATACCTTTTCAAATACAAACTTATTTGGAGATTATGATTCAGTGTTTAAGTATAATTGCTACCGGTACTTTACTTTTGAATCTTCTCACGATCCATCCTCCTCATCTAGCTAGAAATAGTATCTAGCTTTAGATCTACGTTAGATCTAGTGAAAATAATTCGCGCTTAACCTGAAAACTTAGTGAATTTTAGTTAATTTAAGGATCTAGATACAGGTACATCTAATGTCTAGTTTGCTCTAGAAATACGCTAGACTCTAGATTTACGCTAAATCACTAGAATCTAGTGAAGACAATTCTCTCACAGCCGTTAAAAGTCTGCGAAGTTTAGTGACATTGAGTTAGAATCTATAGAGTCTATATCTACGATAGATTCAGTGAAGATAATTCGCACACAGCCGTGAAAAATCCGCCAATTTAGTGACTTAATTAGATCTAGACTGTAGAAGCAGTGAAAAGAAGTTAGTGACTTAGATCTAGACAGCATAAAAGTCCGCGAATTTTAGGGACTAGATTTATGTTGATTCAGTGAAGATAATTCGAAAAAAGTCTGCGAATTTAGTGACTTAGACTTAGATCTAGACTTAATTTACGCTAATCCAATAGAATTGAGTGAAGATAATCCTCTCACAGCAGTGAAAAGTCTGCGAATTTAGTGACTTAGAGTCTAGATCTACTGTAGATTTAACGAAAATATTTCGCACACAACTGTAAAAAAGCCCGTAGAGTTATTTTGGTTGTAATTTACTTAAAACTGACGGAAAGCAAGTCAACTGCTATAGTAAGAATGAAATATTTTTTTTACAAATCTATGTCAATTAAAGAAAATTTCCAACTTCAGATTGCGACACTTTTAGCTGAATTACATATATTTTTAAAAAGTTATTCTTCTGTAGTGCAAGCTTGTGTGTGTTTTGTAATGTATTAAAAAGTTGCATTTAAATGCTTAGGAAACACTAGAGATGAATTTTGGAGGTATGATTTCAACTTATCAGCATACATTTTAATGGGTTTTTTTAAATTTAATATTTATATATATATATATATATATATATATATTGTTCTTTTTACATATTTATTTCATTTGTATGTAAATATATATACATATATATTGCTTGCTATGGTGCGATGCATACCTTGAAAATCTAAAACTCTACCTTAAATACCTGGAAAATCATTCATGAAATTGGCTATGAACCCTGATATAAAGTTGTAATAGTTAACATTTTATCATTTTTTATTTAAATACTTAAAACATTTATATTTAATAAATTAGACAGTAAACTCTTAACATCTAAAAAAAAAAAAAGTCATTCTTTGAGATTTTGCTTTTGGGCTCGGCATAGGTCACTTCCCACAAAAATGCTGAAAGCAAATGTAGATCTAACCAATCGTATTGTTTCATTCTTATAGTGGCTGTTAGGCTGAGTGACGGCCCAGTCCATAGCTATCTTAGTCACTGGTACAGTAATATATAGATCTAAAAGCATTAGAAATAACCAATTCGAGAAAAAAACAAAAACATTTTCATCCCTGTTCCAAAAAGTAAATAGATCATATCTGACAGATTCTAACAAACTGGTTACTGTAAGGCTAGCCTAGAACTTAAGTAGACTACATGTAGTCGGTCATGATATGAGAACCAAGCGATAATGTTTGTTGTGCGTTGAGTGGTCAGGCGAGAAAATACTGACATAGTTAGTCAAGCATGTCAATTTACTCTTAACGTGTATTTTTTAATTTTTTTTACAAGATCTAGATCCAACTGTATAGACTAAGATCTATTTCTTTTACGAAAATGTAAACTGTACTGTATGGCTTTCCGTTATACAGTAAGTCAGTAAAAGTTTTACAAAGTGAAGATAAACACTTTCCTGAAAGTTTTAATTGAAGGGAAACAAATAAACCTACATGAATGCATCCTTTTTCATTATGCAACAAAGTTATTAACACACAACTTTCATAGATATGTGGTGCCAAAGTGTTTAATAGATACTATCATACCATACTGAGATCTAGGTCTATGTCTACAATTATTTTGATTTCTAAGTATTATAATAGAGGGGAATAAGCATTTTCATTCACACTCCTCCCTGACAAAAAGTAAATAGGCTGGGGGTCCGACAAATGTTAATAACTAAGTCACATTAAATGTAGCCCACACAATTGGGTCATTCTAACGTCACACAGAAACCCAGTAAAAATATGACTGTTTTGGATGCATAGAAAAATTGCTTCAGAAAAACATCAATTACTAAGGTATTATTGAAAATAGAATGAAAACAATAATATATTACTTACCTGTAATTAAAAAAAAAAAAAAAGTTGTCAAAACCACTGCAGTGTCTCTTTAAAGACTATTTTAAAACTTTATCAGTCTGTCACTTGACTGGCACATATGATTTCTGTTTTCAGTACTTACTGTTTGCTGACACAACATCTGACGGCATGCTGGTTATAGTGGAGCGACCACCCTCAGAGATAGAAGACAACTTGTTGCCTTCATTCAAACAGAAGAAGTTTGGAATCTCTTGATGGAACTGTTTTTTGTTTATATGTTGAAAATAAATGCATTCAATGTAGAGCTTTGGTTTATTTCTTTTATCTCTAGTCACTGTTCCAGTGTTTCTAGGTGTTTGATGTGTCACTATTCCAGTGTTTCTAGGTGTTTGATGTGTCACTATTCCAGTGTTTCTAGGTGTTTGATGTGTCACTATTCCAGTGTTTCTAGGTGTTTGATGTGTCACTATTCCAGTGTTTCTAGGTGTTTGATGTGTCACTATTCCAGTGTTTCTAGGTGTTTGATGTGTCACTATTCCAGTGTTTCTAGGTGTTTGATGTGTCACTATTCCAGTGTTTCTAGGTGTTTGATGTGTCACTATTCCAGTGTTTCTAGGTGTTTGATGTGTCACTATTCCAGTGTTTCTAGGTGTGATGTGTATGAGGCATTCTAATGTTTCTCAGGTCAAAGTTTTCATTACAAAATTATTGTGTTTGCAGTAGATATCATTTTTAGTGTGGATGACTCTAATATTGATATACATCTGTCATATTTAAAAAAGTTTAAGGCTAATAAGCTTAATTCTATAATCTTTTTTAAAAATTGTTAAAAATATTTTCCTGGTACTTTTGTTACACACTCCAACTTTAAACTTGCCAGAAAATATCCCCTCTGGCATTTAGTCATCCCCCAAACAGGACAGGTGTCTGACCAAGTAGAAGTGACCACTGAAAAAGATGGAGAGCACTCCTGATCACAAGAGACATAGCAGAGACCCAAAGGAAAGCCCTTGGAAAATGTGTGGCAAAATATACAGGTCACATCTGTGTTTGTGTGCTACTGCACTAATCTTCAGAATCAAAGACAATATTTTTCACATAAGATATATTTACTTGTTAATGAAGAGGAAAATAAATGTGATTTCTTTGTTTCAGAAATTGGATTAGATTGAGAGTAATTTGATTCAAGTGAGGCGTGGTGGCTGAGAGATAAAGCACTGGTCCTCCAAACTGAGGGTTCTGGGTTTGAATCCTGGGATTTTGAATTTCAGGATTTTTGGGACGCTTTTGAGTCCACACAGCTCTAATGGATACCTGACATTAGTTGGGGATGGCCGTATGACTCCCTTGACCTTAACATCATCTGCCCCTTAGATTGCAAGGTCTGAACGGGGTACTTTACTTATTTACTTTGAGTTAATGTGGTTACCTTAATCTTTTTTAAGCTGGATGTAAAATGGAATCAATTTCTAACATAAACTTAATCTAATACTCAATGTTGACAAACCTTCCTTGACAGTTTCAAATGTGCGTGTCTTGGGCATCACTTGATTGAAACTTGTATTGAACCCACACCCTAGGGCAGCAATTAATTGAAACTTGTATTGAACCCAAGCCCTTGGCCAGCACTTTGGTTTTAATATTGTATAAATGTCCATTTATTGACCACAAGACAAAGACTAACAAGACGTCAAGTTTCTCAATGTATTTAATTGATCTGATCAAATGGTAAAGTTTAAAAAAAACAATGCATGACCAAAATGTTTCCAGAATATTTCAATCCATTCACACATTGACAAGCTTGGGCCCTGTCTGACTTGCAGCTAATACTAGGGCACATCATTCAACTTATTGTTACACTCAATAGATCTCCCCTAGTTTCCCAATGGCAGTTGAATTCGGATATCAATAAAAATGTATTCCAAACAAAAAAAAAGGGGGGGGGGGAACCATCTATGAAACTTTACAAAAAAAAAATTCTCAGGGGGATGGGGTTGGGGGAGGTTACATTTGTGAAAGCATTTAAAATGAACAAGCCACAATTCAAATGAAAACCTCTTCCTATCCTAATTATAGTTGAATGGAATCCAAAGATGAAAGCAGCACACACAGTTCTGCAACTATTAAACATTCCCAACACACATATCTAAGATTGAATGCAATGCAATCATCTAGTACTTGCTCTAAATTCAATCTCACGTGTAGTCTGATTTTAATTGTCTGCAGGTTTGAAAACAAGGAGTCGTTATGTTAAAGATTTCTACACTGAAAAAAAAAGTTATTTTGTCTTAGTCTCTCTTTGGTTACCATACAGCACATCGGCAAGGAAAGTAACTTATGGTCAGATAGGGGACATAACAAATATGTCTAGCTGAAAGGGAAGCATACTAATTCTTATTTATTATTTAAACCACATAATAGTCTACCAAACCAAAGGCAGAGCAAAACAAATATCTAAAAAAAATGTATTTTGTTACCAGGGTGAAATTTCGTTTCTGGACATTCGACTGTGAGACTTACACTGTCATGTCCAGAAACTTTGAGGAGACTACTGTCTGTGCAGAACTTTTCTATTTCATTTAAAAAAAAAATAAAGCTTTGATCTTTAAATTAGATTTTTTCTACCTTGCCGATGTAAAATTGTTTTCTAATTACAAAATCTCTCCATCCGTGGAAGAATAAAAAAAGATATTAAAGGCAAGCTTAGATTTCAGAAATAAGGACATTCTATAAGGTCAATTCAATATGAAATACACTTTCTCTAGATTGTATCTCTACCTAGACTTATACTTGAAATACTCCACTCTTGGATTCACAAATGTAAATTGCTGAGCAGGCAGAAGGAATAGTGTTATTACTTATCTGCTGCTTTGTCTCTGAACAAAAACAAGTCTTGAAACCTTCACATTTGTTCATGGTTAGGAGAAGCCTAAGATCTGAGCATGTGTGACGATAATGAACACTGGAATAGATTATTGCTTAACACAGCAACTGAGTTCACCCTATTCCTGCATAAACTATTCATTACTAAGTTAGATACAAGTAACATCATGAATGAAATGTTTGATGTGGGGGGGGGGGGGGGGGTGCCAGAGAAATATTAAGGAATAGATTAAAGACATTTGCTGGTGGGCATTAAGAGAAATTAGTTTTAGTCTGAGAAGTTTGCTATTTCTATGGCGAAAGGTGGCAAAGAGATAGTGCTTTGGTGGCAAACTTAGTGGGTCTAGTTGAAATCGCAATCAAGGCTGGACTATTTGACTGGGGATTTTAGAATGTCAAAATCTGACTTTGTTTAAGAAACATTTCAATGCTGGTATCCTTGGCAACAATCCCTACACCCATGGATACTTAAAGGTACTAATAGGACATAGTTGAAAATGGTGGACCTTTATTACTATTATTATATAGCACAACTAGAGCATGTTCAGTTCACTCTGGTCTAACCTTGTTGGGGAAGGGGAAATCTAGCAGAAGGGTTTCTGTGATGCCTTAATGTGCCCAGATAACACAACTGAGCCAGAGTCATATTTCAAACTGAAAATCAGTTCTGCATACATTTGGAAGATTTCCTGTTGCACAACAATTGATATCAGAATTTTTCAATTATTTGTTTGTTTCACACAAGAACTTTTTATATGTTTAATTTATTTTTTATATTTCTAAAGCCATAATTTATATTTTGCTGTATCCAGAATGAATATTATTAAGCATCATAAGGGCACTGGTCAGTGAGGATGCATGATGACTGTTCCCAACTAATGTCAAATGTCCCCATTAGGGACATTTAAAAATTTAAATTTCAATAGCACACTTCACTGAGCTTTGAACTCTTCACCCTTCGGTTCAGAAGCCAAGCACTTTGCCACTCGGCCACCAAAGTCTCTCCAGAGAAATGTAGTGTTTTTGAAATCTCGAAAGCAAGAATCACAATTTTGGTCTGCTATGGACTACGATTCAGTGGTTCTTCTGTTCTCAAGAAGACAACTAAACTATTTTGTAGTGCACTGACATATAGCAAAAGTCTTTTTAAGAAGAACACTAATAATACTAGATAGGTTAAGCACTGACATGCCATCATTGACAGAAGGCACAAGCTAGTGACAGCTGACAGTGGCAAGATAAGATGAAATTTATTCAGCTGACTGCAAGCCAAGCTCAGCCACTAAAACACACCTTTAATCAGTTTTGATATTACACTAATGTGCAGATGTGAGTTCAGAGGCACAATGAGACTGCTGGTACCCGATTCACAGAGAATGACCTAGCAGCAGAAATGTCATTGTCTAGAAGACAACTAGTAGCAGAAAAGTCATTGTCTAGATGACTCCAAGCAGCAGAAATTTCATTGCCTAGAAGACACCTAGCAGCAGAAATGTCTTATTGTCTAGATGACACCTAGCAGCAGAAATGTCTTACTGTCTAGAAGACGCCTAGCAGCCGAAATGTCTTATTGTCTAGAAGACACCTAGCTGCCGAAATGTCTTACTGTCTAGAAGACACCTAGCAGCAGAAATGTCTTACTGTCTAGATGACACCTAACAGCAGAAATGCCTTATTGTCTAGAAGACACCTAGCAGCAGAAATGTCTTACTGTCTAGAAGACACCTAGCAGCAGTTTGACAGAGAAGACAAATTGTATGAATTTAAAACAGGTTTCATAAACTAGTCCATGCTCTAGGCTCCTAACACCACTTTGATCTTCATATGTCAGTGTCATCCTTAAGTCTCTCAGCAAACACAATTCTGAAGGAAAAGGTAACGAGACTCCAACTGCAAGAAAGTGTTTCAAGAGTAGTCTTCCTCTACCCTTCATAGTTTAGGATGCTCTCTCTTTTTTCCCCATCTCAGAATGAACTGATCATACACAAGTGTTGCTGGGGAGAGTACAAATTATGGCATGATATTAATACTCCATTATTTATACAGTCACCAAACATTTTTTGTTTCCATATTAGATTATGCTTCAAAGTGGTGACCAGAAGGTTGGTTGTAAAATATACAGATAGTAGGCCCTGAGTTAAGATTACAATATAAATGGGCCACACACACAACTTAGAAAAAAACAACAACAACTAGACCAAATATATACACTCACTAGACTCTAGATAAACTTTTTAGTGTACCACCATTGCTATTCCCCACCCCAGCTAGAAATCAGTATCTCAATACCAAGAACCACAACTCAGTCCACTAATGTACAAAATGAACAAAAAAACACACAAATTTCAAAAACAGAAGAGTTGCACAATGTCTATCTACAATGTATTTTGAGTATTTGACAATATCTTTCTTTGAAATAATAAGGGGGCACAATCAACTACTCATAAATTACACAAACCAAAGGGAATGAACTCATTCTCACACATGAATATTTGTTTTAAAAAAATAAAAGCAAGACCTACAAGTTGATCATGTATAGAACAGAATGAGCAAGCCAGGTGAGATTGAATGGCTGAAGACAAACACACACACAAATGTATATCTTTACCATTGTCCAAAAATAAATAAAGTAGCAACTTGTGTACAACAGTTTTGTCCCTTGTTACTTCACACTGGGCCACACAAAGCAAGATACTGTCAGACAACAGATATTGTACTATGCTTAAAACACACCAGGTAAAGGTGCTGTCATGACATGTGACCTACCTTTCGAACATGTGGCTTGTCACCATGTACATTTATACAGGGTCTGACATACCCGATTCTGCATTCAGACGGATACACCGAATTCTGTAGTGTCACATACAGCTGGTTGCAAACTGTGACAAAGACACATCTGACACTCAGTAGAAAGAGATATCTGACACAAAAGATATGACTTCACTGCAAATTCAGGGGGTCTGCATTGCCACATAACACACACACACACTATACCCTGCACACATAGTATCAAGTCAAACACACACCAAACTTAATTGTGTACATCATGTCCAGGTAACCCTCCATGGCTCATTGACCTCTTATTGCACCTTGGAACCACTCCGACCCCCCCCCCCCCCAACCAAGCTTAAACACAATATTCACACAGCATTATTTTGTTCTACATCAGTTGCACCCCAAATAGTTGTATTATTATATCAAATTATTGCAAAAAAATATATATATTTATATATAATATCACACATCCCATGACATTGATCCAGTGTCATGTCTATTTGTAAACAAACAATTCTATATATAATTATATATATATTATTTGTTTATAAATATATATAATCAATTTTCCAGAAAGTAGCAATGCTTTTTACAAAAAAAAAAAGAAAAAAAAAAAGATTTGGTCAGATTATAAAAATGTTTTTCACTGTCACCTACAATGTTTTTGTTCTCTGACAATGCTTCTCAAAGTGTTGACCTAAGTGGGAACCAACTACCCCTATTCTTCAGCACAGCTATTAGATCTCCTCTAAGACAAGCAAGTTCACAAGCAAAAGCTTTAGAAGTTTTTCTAATAACAATCATCCTATTTATGATCTTTTTGCAAGTTTCGGAAGGTCCTTCAGAATTGAAGATTATTACATCCTAGCCCAAACTTCCCGCAGGATGGAGACGACGGAGTTTGAATCTGGGGTCTGGGACCATTGAGATGACTTCGTCTAGGGTGTCTAACAGATGAACAGGCAGCTTTTCAAAATATTTTGTGAACAAGTTCCATTAGTGGCACTGTGAGAAACACTGGCTGAGTAGCTGTGCAGGACCTGACTGTCAAAAATGATGGGAGTGTCTCAAAAGGGGAGTCGCAATTTCTGTATACATCTTCTAAAAAACGTATACACAATATACAAAATACAATTTATAAAATGAACATGAGTGTGCAAGTGAACAAATTTTGAACCCCTGTTATTAAAAGGAGATGAGTACTTAACAAGTGAACATATTGACTTAGTCTTTGGGGATGTGCTTAGCCACCATGACACCAGACAACTTAACAAGGGAACATATTGACCTAGACAAGAGTCTTTGGGGATGTGCTTAGCCACCATGACACCAGACAACTTAAGTGAACATATTGACCTACACAAGAGTCTTTGGGGATGTGCTCTGTCACCATGACACCAGACAAGAAAAAAAAATGCATTACACTTCCTCATTATTACTCACAAACATTCACAAAGACCTCATCTGGGTCAAGGTCATAACACGCAACAACATTTGATTAACTCCATCTGGGTCAACGGTAAAGCACACCATGACATTTTATGAGCCCATACAGGACCAAGAGTAAGCGAGCAATGACATAGTATAAGACACAGCTGAAACATCAATGCCAGATGGAAATTGAAATCACAACCGTTTCGACAAGAGGCACCAGTTCCTAACTTTCAAATTCTTTGGGGAAATCAAAGAGAACAAAATTTCATGACAATTTTTTTTTTCTAATCAAGGAATTTGAAATGTAAAACAATTAGTAAAAAAATAAACAAATAAATTTCTATTTTGTTACACTCTTTCACCCAAAAAAAAAATTTCGCTACTTAGATTTCACTTTCTAGTGACATCAACTCCTAAACTAATTAACCATTTCAAATAAACTTTAACAAGTGGACACTTCACGAACATGTGGTAAGATTTCAAACACTGTCGGTATCAACACTGGACTAAAATGAGAGACTTAGCTTCACACACAAAGATGAAATTATGCAGATAGAAAAAAAAAATTTGTAGTCATTTTTTCAAAAAGCTATCTAGTGCTGTACCAGGTCTTAAAATAATTCAGTGTACACTTCTACTCAGACAATAGAGTAATGAAAGAATCTATTCAACAGTCTTGATGCAAACAAATCTGAATAAAATATGTTTCCTTTGGTTTACTTTTTATCAATGAAACGAAACAAATATTTTTCTAAAAGCATTGAAAACTATCATTTGCAAAAAAAAAAAAAAATATATATCTATATATATGTATATATAAAACAATACAGAAATACAACTAAAGTGGCACTACAAAGGCCAAGAATCTTTCTAAAACAAAAACATTCAACTGAACAGGGAAGATAACATATTGCAGTAAGCAAGAACAAACAGCTAGTCAATGAGAAATGAAAGCGTTTTGGTAGTTTAGGCCAAACATTGGACAAATGGCT